AGGTGCTCTACCGAATGAGCTACCTAGGTTGATACCCATAGCACAACCATTATATATCCCTCCTTAAAGTTATCTTTATCCTTGCAGACACAACCCAAATTCTTATTAGCCCCTGACAGGACTTTCACTTGCAAATCCAGAGGGGTCAATAGCATCGAATATGTAACAAGGAAGGAGAAAATGTACGGCTGGACCATGAATCTAAGAAGGGGCCCTTGCATCACCGGTCAGATGCTCTACTGACTGAGCTTACTTGGCCTATATCCATGACCCATACCATTAGACTTGCATAAACTTAAAAGTATTTCATAATATATTGATTGATATTATGGTACATATCTGTCAACCATCATTAACTAAAATCAATTGAAAAAAATCAAAACTTTTATTCACCAGTGACCACATTGAACGAAGTCATTTTTGAAAACATTATAAATGACTGTTAAAGGTGCTTAAATTTCTAAAATTTAAAGTACTAGTTTTCCTGCTGGCAATTATTGTTGCCAGCCAGGAATAAAACTTCTAAAATAAATGCCACATTTCTTACAGAGTGAGAAGTACTGTGGGAGGAAAGTTGATGAATATGTAAACTTTACAAATAACATGGAGAAATGCATTTTCTTCAATAAAAGCAAAATAAAAAAAAAAGATTTGAGAATTACTAGAGTATATTTAGGGCTGTTAGATACCAGTCATTAGAAAATAAGACCTCTATAACTTAGTGTAAATGTTATTTTATTATTTTTTTTATTTATTTAACATATTGACTGCTTTAATTTGAAAATGAATACTAGTAACAGCAATTAGTTCATTGTTGTGCCAATTTGCTCCAAGATTTCCCAACCTCAAAAACTGCATATTCTTTGAGGATCATACTTTCTTATATGATTGCCCATATTTCTTAAAATAATCACTGGTTTTATATTTACAGGCTACTTGAATCTTCAATTTATACTCTTTTTAGTTAAAATCTGAAAAAAAAATCCATTAACTTGAATCAAAATTCACTTAAACCTATATGAATATATCCCTTACTCAGATAAGTATACAATGACTTTTCACAACATAACGGTATATATATATATATATATAACATTGACTTTATCATTGAGTTATTGTTTAAATTAATTTTTTTTTTGCATAATATTAAACTAAAATTGAATTTTTAAAGTGATTGATTTATTTTTTTTCATCAAAGTGCAATATTTTCTCTGAAAAATATAGTTAAAATGCTAAAAAGTCATTTAAAAATAATTTTTTTTGAAAATTTGGTTTCCATGGCAACATAAAATTTTAGATTTTTAAAAAAAAAATAGTAAATATTAAAAAACACAACATTTGCTATATATTTGCCAAATTTCAAGTAAATTGGTTATCAACAATTTTAGATATTTGCATTTTAGTACACCATTGTGATAATTTTGTTGATATTACAAAACAACTCAGTCCTGAGGTTACAGCGCACGTAAAACAAGTCAGCACACAAAGGGTTTCTTCTCCTCTGCTCCTGGGTATTAAATAAACTAACTAAGTACATAGTTATGATGAGCAAGAATGCCTCTTCCAAAATTGTGAATTTTATGGCCCCAGGGTCAGGGGTTCTTGTTTTAGGGTGGGGCTCTAATGATTATATTATAGTGGAATGCATGAATTCTTTGAACATCCTGGTTGATATGCTAATGATCTAATTACATATTTAAGGCCAGGATTTATTTTATTTTCAGTTTTACAAACCCTCCGCTCAAGGTTTTGAATGTTCAGAAAACAAGAGGCCCACGGGCCTTATAGGTCACCTGAGTATCATATAACAACTTTCAAACAATGGACTTTGGTTTGTGTTTTAAACCAGAGGCCATGAAATTCACAATTTTGAAAGAGGCACTGTTGCTTATCATAATTATACACTACGCATGCTTACTCTAGTTACTTAATAGTTAATACCCAGAGGAGAGGTAGATCAGAGTAACAAAGAAAAAAATGCATTTCCACTTTGTAACCGGTTGTCCAAGACCCAGCAGGAAGCATAAATATCAAAATTGTGGAATTTTTATTTCATCATAAATGAATTGTTAATACCAAAGTGCAGATTTGAAAGCATTAATTTATTTTCAAACTATGTAAACCCCCCCCCCCCCCCCCCCCCCCCGATACCCCTGACCCAGGGGGCATGAAATTAACCATTTTGCTAGATGCAGCTTTCGCCATCATAAATATATATACCCCGGTACTTAGATCATTGGCATAATACCCAGGAGCAAAGAAAAATATTTTCAAAGAATTCATGCATTTTCACTATATAATCAATAGAACCCCACCCCAACTCCAGAACACCTGACCCAGGGGCCATGAAATTGACAATTTTGGAAGAGGCATCCTTCCTAATCATAACTATGTTCATAGTTCATTGGTTAAATACCCAGGAGCAGTGAAGAAGATTTTCAAAGAATCAATGTATTTTTACTATATAATCAATAGAGCCCCACCAGAACCCACGATCCAAAGGCCATAAAATTCACAATTTTAGATGAGGCACTCTTGGTCATCAGAACTATGTACTTAATTATTTTGTTTAACACCCAGGAGCAGAGGAGAAGATTTTCACAATATAATCAATAGAGCCCCACCCTAACACCAGAACCCCTGAACCAGGGGCCATGAAATTCACAATTTTGAAAGAGGTACTCTTGGTCATCATAACTATGTACTTAATTATTTTGTTTAATACCCAGGAGCAGAGGAGAAGATTTTCAAAGAATTAAAGCATTTTCACTATATAATCAACAGAACCCCGCCCTAACACTAGAACCCCTGACCCTGGGGCCATAAAATTCACAATTTTAGTAGAGGCACTCTTGGTCATCATAACTATGTACTTAGTTTATTTAATATCCAGGAGCAGAGAAGAAGATATTCAAAGAATTAATGCATTTTCACTATATAATCAATAGAGCCCCGCCCTAACACCAGAACCTCTGACCCTGGGGCCATAAAATTCACAATTTTGGAAGACGCACTCTTGCTCATCATACCTATTTACTTAGTTGGTTTATTTAACACCCAAAAGCAAAGAAGATTTTTTAAGAATAAATGCATTTTCACTATATTATCAATAGAGCCCCACCCTAACACCAGAACCCCTGACCCTGGGGCCATGAAATTCACAATTTTCGAAGAGGCACTCTTGGTCATCATAACTATGTCCTTGGTTAGTTTGTTTTATACCCAGGAGCAGAGGAGAAGATTTTCAAAGAAATAATGAACTTTTACTATACAATCTATATAGCCCCCCCCCAAAACCAGAACCCCTGACCCTGGGGCCATGAATTTCACAATTTTGGTAGAGGACTCACTGATGATTACAATCATGTCAACAGTTTGACTGCTTGGTATCCAGGTGTAAAGAAGAAGATTTTTAAAGATTGCACTAATTTTCGTGGTTTTGGCCCCGTCCCTCAGGCCCCAGGGGGGCAGAGACCATGAAATTCACAATTTATGTTCCCCTTCACCCATAGATGCTGTATACCAAATTTGGTTGAAATTGCTTCAGTGGTTCCAGAGAAGAAGCTAAAAATGTTGAAATGTTTACGAACGACGTACGACGTACGACGGACGACGTACGACGAACGACGACGGACGAAAACAGATAGCAATAGGTCACCTGAGTTTACTCAGGTGACCTAAAAATACAACAATTTTTTTCTTTCCGATGTCAAATTTGAGTCGGGATCGAGATTTCACATTTACGAACTCGCACTTCCGGTTTTAAGATGAAACGGCGGGTAAATAAAGCGAGATCTGAAAGATAGCTTGGTTTAGTGTAAAATTCATCGATACGAGTGCCATTCAAAAAGTTTCACCTGTTCAAAGGACAAATAAAATGCTGACGACTTTGTTGCACAATGACATGCTGGTGAGATAATTATGTATTCGTTTCAAAAGTATCTGTCTGTAAATTATTTTCCTCCCCCAGGTTTTAAACTGGCCGTGGTAGCTGTTGCATATTGCCAGCGGGCAGCAACATTGTTTAGGTCTCTGTTATAGCTTACAGTCTAAGCATCATTCTTCAGAAAAGGGTTGCTTATGCATCAGATGTAATGAATAAAACTATGGGAGAAGTTCAGTCCATTTGAAGAAGAAATTGTTAAGGCAAGAATATACAAATATATACAGGCATGTAGTATCATTTGTATCAGCCAGAAAATTATTTTACACTTGATTGAAAAAATGTTCACCTTACACCTGCAATACCCCCTGTCTGTTTTATGATAGGATTAAATTTTAGAACAATGTCTACACATTCACCTAACACATATTAAAAAAAATGAAGATATATTGAAAGACTTTTAAAGAATTGATTTTTTAAGATATATTTTGACCAACATTACAAAATTTATATAACTGGCCCAAACTGGCAGATGATGAAATAAGCAATTAAATGTTTTACTTTCCTATTTGTAAGCATTATGTGTCCAGTGGTAAGGAGCCTATTATAATAGCATAAAAAAAAAGAATGTACAAATGTTAATAATTGATTTATCAAAAAAAAAATTTTGATTTCCTTCTCCTTTGGGACTTTTTTATTCTCATGTTCATAACTTAACCTAAACAAAAAAAAAATGCTGGCCTTATAATGAAGAAAGGGGCCTCTTTCAAAATAGATACTTTCAGGGACGCTGGGTCAGGGGTACCAGGGGGATACTTTGACTAAAAATAAATTAATGCTTTGAAATCTGCCCTTTGATAAGCAATGGTGCCTTCTTCAAAATTTGTGAATTTCATGGCTTTTGGATTAAAACACGAACCAAATACAATCGCTGGAAAGTTGTTACATGATACTCTGGTGACCTATAAGGCCCGTGGGCCTCTTGTTTTAATTGTTGTCCTCAGATAATTTTTACTGGCATTACCCAAAGTATTTTTCTTATTCTTAGTATGAGCCAAAAAAAAAAAAATCTAGAAATTAAAGTTATAATCCAACTTTTGACTTCTTTAATCTAAGTATGCACAGCGTTTATGAATTGTGTTTGATTATTTATACAGGAAGGAATCTTCACATTAATTCATACAATACAAATAATGATCCAGTCACTACAGCCAAACAACTGGATGGAATGCTAGCAGAGGGAGAGGTGTGTATACTAGTTACTAATATTCCTATCTAGTATTATCAGGCCAACATACATGTATTATTGTTACAATATTTTAAGCTACATCATGTACATGGGATGTAATAAAGTGTGTAAAGGATCCCATAGGTAGAGTACGATATGATTTGTGTGTTTTGTAAATAAAAACTTTTTTCTTACTCATCTTTTATTTTGAAAACAACTTGCAATTCATGCAGATCTTTTGAATCAAATGTGACAAAGTTAATTAATTTCCCTCATCCTCCAATAGTTGGATGTGATTAATTTACTGCTAGATGTAGTAGTAAATTGATACACTGATAACATTTAATAAGAGGAATATACCTAATGATAAATGCTCCAATAATTAAATTGTTACCAAAATTTCACCATCCCCCTCTCCCTTTTCAATGATTTCAAGTTTCAGATGGAATAGGAAAAAGGTCTGTGAGATTTGCAGCATTTAGAAAAAATTATATGGACAAAATATGTCTGAAAATTCTTGAAATATTCTGTAGTCAACTCCACACAAGAGAGTGCGAGGTATAATTGGCCTGGGAACTAATGCCCTAACAGAGGGTCTGGCCCCAGTGTTAGCAGCCAACAAAATCCCCCAGATTGCCACCAGAGAAGATGAATATGGCTTCAGAGATAAGGTTAGTACTACTTTAATGTACTATTTTATATTTTACAGGGTTTTTTTTTTTTAAAAAAACTTAAAACTTTGTCCCCTCATTCAGTTGACTGTAGAAGTTCTGATTGTAAAATTTGTCCCTCATTCAGTTAACTGTAGAAGTTGTGATTGTAAACTTTGTCCCTCATTTAGTTAATTGTAGAAGCTGTGATGTAAACTTTGTCCCCTCATTCAGTTATCTGTAGAAGTTTTGATTGTAAACTTTGTCCCTCATTAAGTTAATTGTAGAAGTTTTGATTGTAAACTTTGTCCCTCATTCAGTTGACTGTAGAAGTTTTGATTGTAAACTTTGTCCCACATTAAGTTAATTGTAGAAGCTGTGATGTAAACTTTGTCCCCTCATTCAGTTATCTGTAGAAGTTTTGATTGTAAACTTTGTCCCTCATTCAGTTGACTGTAAGTTGTGATTGTAAACTTTGTCCCTCATTCAGTTGACTGTAGAAGTTGTGATTGTAAACTAATTACTTTGTCCCTCATTCAGTTAATTGTAGAGGCTGTGATTGTAAACTTTGTCAGTATTACAGTTTACTTTAGAGGCTATGATTGTAAACTTTGTCCCCTTATTCAGTTAACTATAGAAGCTGTGATTGTAAACTTTGTCAGTATTATAGTTAACTGTGGAGACTATGATTGTAAACTTTGTCAGTTTTACCCAGTTAACTATAGAGGCTATGTAAACTTTCAGGCTATCTATCCGTACTATAACAGACTCTCCTGGAATATAGGCTCCTTGTCCCACAGTATCATGATGGCAGCTGCTTACAGAAACTGGAAGAAGATGGTAAGGAATTTTAGAAACAATCAATTCTCTCAAACTTGAACTTTTCAGCCTGTTAGATTATTATCAAGTTCACAAAATAAGGATCTAAGTCTTGACAGGATTTGGCAGCTTTTTGGTAGAGTGTAACAAAAATTTGATCTTAATGATTCCAAGTGTTTATATATTGTTATAATGATAAATTTATTATACATCCCCTTACAACAAGTAAAATATATTTTTATTGAAAAAAATTTGAGGTCAATTATATAATATCAACCCATTAAACATAGGCATTTGTCAAGGAACTTTTTGATGCACAAGAAAAATAATGCCATGTTTCTGTGTACCAGGCATCAATTTCAGTGAGGATTGATATGAATTAAAAAAAACCACAATGTGTTGATCTTAAAAGTTGTATCATGATGTCATGTGATTGTACAAAATCTACAGTAAAATTGAGTGATACGAAGTTGGATATATATATATATATATATTTAATAAAACAATGTACAGTACTAGAACTGTATGAAACAATGCATGTCTACAGTATGTTGTACAAGCAGAAATTTTTAGGAAGAATTCAGTTTTGGCTAATTTTAATAATGCTAAGAATTCATTCTGCATTTGGAGGTTTAAGAAGTTGCTCAAAAAATTGCTGATTTTTAAGGACAAATCGCTAAATCTGTGTCTGGCTAAAAGTTCCATTTATGCCATAATAAGATTTATTTGGAATAAGGAATATTTGTTTGGTCTGGAACTTCGGCTTGCCTAATAATTTGTATTTTTTGATTTGAGCTATGAAATCTGATTAATTACGTTTTTGGTCATATTTCAGATAATCATTCGACAGTCCAACTTAAAAATCAACAACGTCTTCATTCAGAAAGCAAAAGACTTCAATCTGGAAATTACTGCAGAGGTAAGATTAAATCTTGTCCATTAATTTTGCAGGTCTTTACAAGTTATTCTGAATTTGAGAAAGCAAGGTGATGAGGGGACATAATTGAATGCAAAGATACTTGTAAGAAATAGGAGTTACTTACTGTCTGGAAATAAGGAAAATAAAAAGACTTGAAAAATCTGGAAAACTTTCTCCTTAAGAACAGCAAATTCATGAATAGTGTCATAGTGAAAAAAATGTATCTTGAGGTAGTGTTGGCTCAGATTAATTGTTCAAATCATGATGGGGAAAGGTGGGGGGGGGGGGGGGGTAGGGGCCCAAAATAGAATAAAAAAAAATAAATTTTTTTTTGGTAAATAACAGCATGATGTTGTTTAGTCACAATATTTATTCAAACATCCTCAGTTTGTTTATATTGAAGAATATTCAAGTCATGGCCCCTTGGTGGAAGATAAGGTCCCTGTTCTAAATAAACTGACGGACTTTAAGGACTACTTGAGTGAGCATTGTGACAAATGGGCATCTTCCATTGTATGAATCTAAAATTAACATAGTGGTAGCCAATATAATACCAGATAAAACAAACTGAATGTTGTTACATTTCAGATTGCTATACCATTCATTCCTCCACCATTGTGCAGACCAGGCCTCTTACAGACGTACATGGATAAGATTAAATCCTATGGAGTCCGGATAATATGGATGTTTATGATTCCCCCCTTTATGGCCTTTACTCTGTGTGAAGCTAGAAGGTATATGTACAGCATTTTTGTTAGCTCACCTGAGCCAAAGGCTCAAGTGAGCTTTTCTGATCACATTTTGTCTGTCGTCCGTCTGTCTTTGCAAACGTGTCCGGTCCATATCTTTCTTACAGAGGGACATTAGAATCTACTACTCCACACAAAAATTGCCCATGACCTAAGGGTGTGTCATAACCTTGACCCAAGGTCATTTGGGGAAGTTCAAGGTCACTGGAAGAAAAATTTGATAATTCGTGTCCGGTCCATATCTTTCTTATGGATAAATTTGGTAGGTTCTCATTTCACACAAAGATTGCCCATAGCCCAAGGGTGTGTCATGACCTTGACCCAAGGTCATTGGTAGGTTCTCATTTCACACAAAGATTGCCCATAGCCCAAGGGTGTGTCATGACCTTGACCCAAGGTCATTTGGGGAAGTTCAAGGTCACTGGAAGAAAAATTTCATAATTCGTGTCCGGTCCATATCTTTCTTATGGATAAATTTGGTAGGTTCTCATTTCACACAAAGATTGCCCATAGCCCAAGGGTGTGTCATGACCTTGACCCAAGGTCATTTGGGGAAGTTCAAGGTCACTGGAAGAAAAATTTCATAATTCGTGTCCGGTCCATATCTTTCTTATGGAAAAACTTACTTCTGAAAAACCCAGTGGGGGGTATTTTGTCCTGTTTGGACAGTTCTAGTTTTTTTGATAACTACTATGTGCATATGAACAAGCATGAGATGGTCTTTAAAGAAGAGATTCGCCTGGATGATTTAATCACATTTATTTGGACGATTTTATTGGGGATGGAGGCATCTTAATTTAAAAAGCGCCACTGTATATTTTGATCGCACTTTCTTTAAATGCATTTAGCTCAGTCTCAGAGGAATTAAGATAATTATTTTTATTGAAGCTTATGCACTATCACATTATTTGGTGAGAATTCATTAATCGTGTCCCTTTTTGATGTTGACAGCAATAACATGACTTCCTATGATGGATACCAGTGGGGTGCTATAGGACAGTATGGCTGGTATTTCCCTTACGCCAACCAATATTACGCAGGATGTCGGGATCCAAATGTAAGTATTTAGCAAGATAAGAGTCAGCTGTTGTTTGTAAAATGAACTGTAGACTGGGATTTATTGAGGTATAGGTAAATCTATTAAGAGTCACATCAAAGGGAAATCTACAAAAACTTAAAGGAAAGGAAGTCTTTTAAAAAGGATTCTTGTCTGGTTTCTAACAAAAAAGTATCAGAGTTTATCGTGCATCTTTTATATTGAGATGAGTACTGATTTTTATGCCTCTGCTCAGAAGGAGAGGGGGTATACTGTTTAACCCTGCATCTGTCCATAAAAATTTTTGTCACTGTTTTTAGATGCTTGAAATTTTAACGCATTCTTTACTTTGGCATTTCATATTGTGGGTTTCTTTTTTTACAAATCCATTGTCAATTTCCTCTGTATGTGTCTTTCAGTACAAAATTTCCATCAGTTTTCTCAGGAAGTACTATATTTCTTTATATGAACTTGTTTTTATGCTCATGAGAGTGTATATTCACATCAAAGCTGGGTTATTACTGATGCATATTGGCTCACAGACTTCTTCTTGTTTTTGAGAATTGGATAGGAACATTATAGGAACATTATTGACTATTGAATTGTATCTTGAACACCATTTTGATTCATAATAAAAAAATAATGGGATATTTCTTATGCCTCTATTTAATTACAACTTATGAAATGTTTTATTATTAGGGCCCCGCAAGGATTTGCGGGTGCCCTATAGTAATCACTCTGTCTGTCTGTCTGTCTGTCTGTCCGTCTGTCATTCTTCCGTCCACAAATTTTCTGTTTTTTCCTAATAACTTTCTTTATGGTAGCCCAATTAAGTTCAAATTTGGTATGGTAATTCAGTAGGCAAAAAGACATATTTTGATGCTAAGTTTGTCTCTCTATGTCCTCTGGTTTGGAGCTGGGGTGTTGGGGTAGATTCCTTAACTATGCATAAGAATGAATGGGCAACTTTTTTTATGGTTGCCCAATCAAGTAGAAATTTGGTATGGTAGTTCAGTAGGCAGAAATACATATTTTGATGCTAAGTTTGGTTCTCTATGTCCCCTGGTTTGGAGCTGGGGTGGTGGGGTAGATTCCTTAACTTTATATAAGAATGCATTGGCAAAGAGAGATAACTGCTGAAGATGTTCCCATTGTAAAGTGAATGCTGCTATGAGTCCCTTGGGATTAATTAGCTTTCCTCCTGAAGAAAATCCAGAGCATTATCTTTATCTGTCACATTGAGATGAATTACCACCTCTGTCTGCAAATGAAGTTTGTTTTGAAGTTAAGTCAATTTGGAATGCTATGAACACTCTGAAATGTGGATTTAAATATAAATTTTTATAATTTATTTTTGTTTAAAAGTTATGATTTCATTGAATTCTAAAAACAAGAAATAGATTAAAGAAGAGATTTTGATTTAATTTTTTTCACTTTATGTTAATTCAAGAATATTAGTAATTTTTAAGGTAGTTGTATAAAAACCCCATTCTATCATTAATACTGAAAAAGTTCTTATTGTAACTTAATTTAGAAAAAAATGATGAGAGAGGTACAATTAATCCTTTGGGATTAATTATCTAGCCTGCTGCAGAAAATTTAGTAGGCTTTTCTTAATCTTAATGAAAACCTTTGTCTGCAACTGCTGTTTGTTTGAAGTTAAGGTCAAGCCTTCATGAGGCCTAGAAAAAAAATATGTTTGTTTCCGCTTTCGGGCTGAAGAAATATAGGGTAGGTAGGTAGGCAATTTTTTTTTTTTGAAATTTTTTTTTGCTTCTTTAATCAAAACGTGTATAGAAGTAGCATTAATTACAAAAAAAATCATGTTTTTAAGCATTACTGTGACTTAAACTTATAATAGAAAGTTGACCCAAACTTCTTTCTGTCTTGAAAAGCTTGCAAAGTTGAAAACTATAATACCCTGGGTGAAATCTTGCACATCATGGGACAAAAGCATTAAAAAAATATTTAGGGTCGGCACTATAAATTAGGGTCAGTCGGGAAAGCGGAAACAAACATATTTTTTTTCTAGGCCTGATATTTGCATTCATTGAAGGCTGGCATTTTATATAACACAAGCTTCATAATTGTTTAAATATACATTCAATGTTAAGTTGTTCTTTACTGCCTAATGTAAATACAAGGATATTATTTTCAGGTTTTTGAATATTCAGGAATTATCTTGAAATTTTAAGAATACAGTTGCTGTTGCTTATTTTTTGTATATTTTTTAATCATTCTGTAAGCTGCACCCTTTTAATTCTACCCCATGGCGGGGCCCTTGCTGACTGGTCAGTTTTCTAGTTTTTATTGGTGTTCTGAATAGCTTTATTTCTTTTTCAGTTCTTTAATTTTTAATTCTAATGCAATTTTTTTGTAAAACATGTTTTGATTGGCTAATGCACTTAAATGCTTAAAGCAGTAAAACGAGCTTTTACACGAATGAAAGCTTTTCATTGTGACGTCATAATAGAGCGACGCAAAAACACAATGCTCCGTGACGTATTTTATATAATAAAAATCAACAAAATAAGATGTAAACAACAAAAAATGCATAGATTGCATTAGAATGGGAATAACTAATCTCCTAATTTGATATTTGTGACTGTTAATGCTGATTTAACGTTCCCAAACATCGGTTTTACCGGGGACGCATAAGCGGAGCCGGTAAACTCAGTTTGGGAAGTTAAATCAGCATTAACGGTCGCAAATACCAAATTAGAAGATAGTTATTTCTTAATTCTATTTTGTTGCCTGGAGGAATTGTGCCTTCCATAAAAAAAAAAAGGAATTGGATTTAATCATAACAATACATGTATATTTCAAAGCATGTGTACGAATCATCCACTGGACTCTGTTTAATCATCAGTTTGCAAAAACAAAAAGAACAGAAATATTTTGTATGAAAATGTCAGAAAATATTAAGATTTTGCATTATTTAAAGTGGTAACTTAACCATGTTAACAATATTTAACATTTATATATATGATAATTTGTATTTTAATAAAGATTGTCTCATCATTAGGGCCCCGCAAGGATTTGCGGGTGCCCTATAGTAATCACTCTGTCTGTCCGTCTGTCATTCTTCCGTCCACAAATTTTCTGTTTTTTCCTAATAACTTCTTTTGTGGCTGCCCAATTAAGATCAAATTTGGTATGGTAGTTCAATAGGCAAAAAGACATACTTTGATGCTAAGTTTGTTTCTCTATGTCCCCTGGTTTGGTGCTAGGGTGGTGGGGTAGATTCCTTAACTTTATATAAGAATGCATTGGCAAAGAGAGATAACTGCTGAAGATGTTCCCATTGTGAACTGAATGCTGCTATGAGTCCCTTGGGATTAATTAGCTTTCCTCCTGAAGAAAATCATTATCTTTGTCTGTCACATTGAGATGAATTACCACCTCTGTATGCAAATGAAGTTTGATTTGAAGTTAAGTCAATATTTGGAATGTTATGAACACTCTGAAATGTGGATTTAAATATAAATGTTTATACTTTATTTTTGTTAAAATAGTTATGATTTCATAGAATTCTAAAAACAAGAAATAGATTAAAAAAGATATATTTTTTATTTCGATAAAAAAATATTTTTATATTTTACTTTTTAGCTCACCTGAGCCAAAGGCTCAAGTGAGCTTTTCTGATCAAAATTTGTCCGTTGTCTGTCGTTGTCGTTGGCGTCGTTGTCGTCGTCGTTGTTGGCGTTGTCGTTGTTGTAAACTTTTCACATTTTCATCTTCTTCTCAAGAACCACTGGGCAAATTTCAACCAAACTTGCTACAAAGTATCCTTGGGTAAAGGGGATTTAAGTTTGTTCAAATGAAGGGCCACGCCCTTTTCCAAGGGGAGATAATTATGAATTAGAAAAAAATTAATGGCATTTTTAAAAAATCTTCTTCTCAAGAACCACTGGGCCAGGAAAGATGAAAGTCATGTGGAATCATCCTCAGGTAGTGTAGATTCAAGTTTGTTCAAATCATGACCCCCCAGGGGTAGGGTGGGGCCAAAATGGCCGATCAATGTTTTAAATAGGAATATATAGGAAAAATCGTTAAAAATCTTCTTCTCAAGAACCAATGGACCAGGAAAGATGAAACTCATGTGGAATCATCGTTAGGTAGAGTAGATTCATGTTTGTTCAAATCATGACCCCCTGGGGTAGGGTGGGGCCAAAATGGCCGATCAAAGTTTAACATAGGAATATATAGGAAAAATCTTTAAAAATCTTCTTCTCAAGAACCACTGGACCAGGAAAGATGAAACTCATATGGAATCATCCTCAGGTAGTGTAGATCCAAGTTTGTTCAAATCATGACCCCCATCGGTAGGGTGGGGCCAAAATGGCCGAATAAAGTTTTACATATGAATATACAGGAAAAATCTTTAAAAATTTTCTTCTCAAGAACCACTGGACCAGGAAAGATGAAACTCATGTGGAATCATCTTTAGGTAGTGTAGATTCATGTTTGTTCAAATCATGACCCCCTGGGGTAGGGTGGGGCCAGAATGGCTGATCAAAGTTTAACATAGGAATATACAGGAAAAATCTTTAAAAATCTTCTTCTCAAGAACCACTGGACTAGGAAAGATGAAACTCATGCGGAATCATCCTCAGGTAGTGTGGATTCAATTTTGTTCAAATCATGACCCCCAGGGGTAGGGTGGGGATAAAATGGCCAATCAAAGTTTTAGATAGGAATTTATAGGAAAAATCTTCTTCTCAAGAACCATTGAGACAGGAAAGATGAAACTAATGTGGAATCATCCTCAGATAGTGTAGATTCAAGCTTGTTCAAATCATGACCCCCGGGGGTAGGGTGGGGCCAAAATGGCCGATAAAAGTTTAACTGTTTTACATAGGAATATCTAGGGAAACCTTTTAAAATCTTGTTTTCAAGTACTTTAAAGCCATGCTTAGTGATATTTATAGGGAATCATCCTCAGGTAGTGTAGATTCAAGTTTATTCAAATCATGACCCCCTGGGGGTTAAAATTAAAGCCCCCCCCCCCCCCCCCCAGC